CTATATGGCATCTAATTTGGAGCCCCTACAGTTTCCAGCCCCATCAGCTGGAACAGACTGCACGCTTCTGACTTCCAGTTCTTGGAAATGGATTGCAATAGTGCAGAGAGGAAGCAGCATTAGACATTGTTAAGAGAATGGACAGCGCAGACAGAGGCACCTCATGACCATCCAATCTGCATTAAATTGTCTCAGTACTCAAGTAAGGCCAGGAGGATTAAAGATAAAGATGGTAAGCTCAAAGCAAAGCCAGTAAGTGATTTCAGTACAAAATGGAGGCCCACGAGTTGCCTGCCTACATCCTTCACTGTCCTAAATGCCTCTAAATGTCTTGTATCCTTCAATACTCCTGGTACCTTCACAGCTCTGCACATATACCCAAGAACTGCCTGCCAAGTGCCTCAGGCTTTGGCTGCAGCCAGGTCTGTCCCAGTTGTGAACCCCAGCTCCAGCAATGGGTCATGCAAGGATCCCCATTTTATCCTGCCCCATGCATTGTGCTGGAGTAACAGGTGACAGCAAACAGGTATTGGGGCTCCAGAGCCATGCCACAGCCTTCCCTTCTTGTTTATTGCCAGCTCAGCACTGATTACTGCCCCTTTGAAGCACCCACCCATTTAGAAGAACCACAGGTTTCTCATAGAGTCCAGGCTGTGCCTCAGACAGCAGTGGCAGTCTGCTATGACTTTTCTTAGAAAGGAAGTTGGGTACAACAGAACAGTTCCTAGGTCAGAACTCAGGAGCTCCCCACCCTGTCTAATATAGGACTTTCCACAGTAGGCCAGTATTGTCTTAATTTTACTTGATTTTGTTAAGTATTTGGACACTACAAGCTACAAAAGAGCCATATATACATGTACCTGAAACATGACTACCTTTAACATAGCCAGGTTTTATCCATTCACAACATTAAGACCCTCTAAGTCAACATTCATCCTGACTAGCAATTACTGAGGAGAAATCAATATAACTCAGAACATTTTCTTTCACACACTATTGTCCCCCCCAGCATAAACCATCAGACAAGAGCCTGACCTTCTTGCATAAACCTCTTTTCTACAAACAGGTGGAGTTTAGTAGGAGGGCAAATGAATCTTAAGATGATTCAGAGAGCAGACAATGCTCTAAAAAGAACAGTTTTCTCGTTTCCATTATTATACCAAATGGCATCTTCCTGTTTTCTAAACAGCTGCCTCCTCAGGTTAGACTGACCCAGTAATCTTGGGGTGCCACACAATATCTGAAGGAAGCAGAACTGCTTATTCCAAAAGGATGAATGCACCATCTCAAACCATCAGGGAATCACTACTGTATCCATTTAGCCTATTGCTACCACAGCCTTAAAAATTAATGAGTTCTCCAGGGAATAGAGAGACATAATGCTCAAAGCAAATGAAGCTGCTGCCAATACTGTTTTCCTCTTCCCTAGACACCACTTCAAACCAAAACAGGAGAGCAGCTTTTGCCCCTCAGCTGTGTATCAAATTCCTTTCAGATTTTCAGGAAAAAATACCTATACCTGTGTAGACAGATCTTGAAATTTCACTTCTTACCAGCCAACACCTCATAGTCTGACCTTGCTCCCTCTGCCATCCAAGTTCACGAAGAAAAAACAAGCTTCATTTTGGGGTGATCTTAGTCCAAGTTTTGTGAAGATGCTAAACCATGCTTAGAAATTATGACCTGCATACAACTAGAAGAGGTGCTTCTTTTCTCCAGCCCTGCAACTGACTTTAATTTCTCACGTTTCCATTTCTGTGCAGTAGTTAACAACATATCCACAGATATTACATTGCATATATACAGAAACACAGGTCAGCAAAGTCATTTATATAAGACCCCTTTCTTTGAGGAGCTATCTCACATAAAAGGGAACATCAGCAGATGGAGCTCTACTTCTGCATCACACTCTTCAAATGTGAAAGCCTGGCAGGTGAAGAGTGGGATAGGAACAATCACTCTCTCACTCTTTCCAAGCTTTTTTCCAAGCTCTTGCTTTTCATGGCACTACTGCACACAAAAGAGGAATGGCTTCTTCTGCCTTCCAATCCCCTTGCTTCCCCAAAACCACTCCCTACATCAACCAGTGTGTCTGAGTCTGCCAGGAAAAGGTTTAGAGATCCTCAAACAAAATGCATTAAGCATGCAGAATTATCACAAATTAACAGCTCCAAAACAATGCAATGAGGGATTAGCATAGCAGAGCAGCTCTGAAATTTACAGGGGTCTAAAGTCTGAGACCTGTTCCCAAACACCAGGAAGAAAAACCATGCAAATCACTATGACAAGCAAGCAAGGCGTTGTCTAGCCTGACATGTTAGCAGGATCTTAGATTTCTGCTCATCTCTACCTCTGATAATTTATGAAGCATCAGCTCCTAAAATCATGCAGCAACCAAGGAAGAAAATGAGCAATTACAACCAGGTAAGTGCAATGTTTAAGTTCAGTATTGCAGGAAAAGGCCTAAAAATGGCTGGCTAGATTAATGAGGCATTTTCCAGGACATCAGCATGAGGTTTCTGAATACCTGCTGTGTTCTCAGAATCAGAATGATGTCCATAGCAATCAGTTGCAGAAGAGGAACAAAACAACCAGAAGCAAATTACTTTCATCTATCCTGTGGTGGTGGCCTTCAGCTCACTTCAGCCCATGATGAAGTCCCTTAAAACCACGGGATTTCACAGCTCCTGGGAAAAAGCTGCTTCTTTCATACTTGGCAATATCACTATCAGAAGCTTCTAATCTGACAGGATGTAGTGGACAAAGAGGGCAGTTTGTGCTTCCCTGGTCTGAAACCTTTGTGGAAGAAGACTACTCAGCTCTTTCTGAGAGGAAGAGAAATACAGAGCTACAGGAGCTGACACTTGGGCTGGAGAGGTGATGAACACAGATGGACAGGGTAGAGGCCATGCACAGAGCAGCAGAGATTAGTATCAGCTGGGAAAAAAAGGAGGAAGAAAAGCTTGTAGACACAGATAGGAAACTCTATATTCCAAACTGGAATAAACATCCGGATCAAGGGCAGACAATGAATTAGCTTAGAGACCTACTCACAATTTCTGTTCAGCACCAACAACCAAGGGAGTAAGTTGGATGCCTTAGTAACACAAATTCCCAACTGACAGCAGACCCTACTCCAGTTAGCTTTCATTCCAGCTAGCCTTCTCTTCCCAGTGCAATCAGCAATCTCACAGGCATAGCTTTACAAATCCCAGGCCACTAGACTGTGGCAGAACAGTGAAGCCAGAGTTAGCATTAGCAGGACTTTGAAGCAAGCTTGCCAAGCAGAAGAGAACCTTTTTCTAAATCCTGGATACATAGACAATAAGCTCTTCTGTCTAAACACTGGAATCAGCATCATGCCGAAATCAGTATCTTACCTTTGACACCGTTTTTTGGGTTTAAAAACCTCCTCTATAAAATTAGTAGGTTTAATGTTAAAGTCATGCCCAGGGCTAACACAAAGCAACAGTTCTCAATTTAAACTAATACAATGTAATCTAATCTGCTCATGGGTAACAGACTGAAAACTGATGTTCTGAGTTGCACAGGCTACACTGCAGATAAAAAACTGTTGCTTAATTGCTGGTTCATTATTTAGCATCAGTTCATTATTTAGCATCAGTACATAATTTTAGAGCATTGAATCTCCATTTGTGATCTGCTGCCCACTGGCAACACACAGACCTGTGACGATGGCCAAAACTACACTCAAGATCTGCAGCATTTCCAGAGTCTGGAGGGGTTACAGTGCTAGAGAGCTCACAGGAAATTGAAAGGGATGATGGCTTTTCCTAACAAATTCATACGCTGTTGTACATGATGCAAAAAGCTCAAAAGGGATAAAAGAGCAAATGTCAGTGTTTGCTTTAGGGACAATATGCATAATTCAGAAATCTGGGATGTTAGAAAATGTACATAGCATGGAGAATGTTACACGTGCTCGCAGTAATTTACTACAAAGAACAGAGCACCATCTGAAAATATGGTTTACAGCAATAACTAAGAGGCTTAGTTATTAGAATTAGAATACAAACAGCTTTTGGGCATTCAACTCCTTGTGTTTGTTGGTGCAAGTCAGGCATCATGCAAGTATAAGAGAAGTCCTCTTCTAATTTAAAAGAAAATAATAACTATTTTAATTACGTGACCATTCTAAAAAGGCTCTGAAGTGCAAAAGCAATCATCAGCACAATAAAATAGCCATTAAATGCTTTTTAGTCACAGGATTTGTTACAATAATTCTTGAAGCTCCCAGCAGTTTCATAACAAAGTAGTCACATCTGCAGTTTCACAGAAATTACCATGTCTGTGCCAACATTTCATCTTATGAATGTTTGCAGGCTCCAATTTCCATGTTTAGAAGAGGAATGAAACAAGGCAACTACTTAAATTTTTCTACCTCTCTGGCTTGCTATTCTGAGAGTTAAGGAGCAGAGGCTTCAGTCAGGGTAATGGAATGGTGGCAGCGATCTCCACTGGTGAGGGAGGCTCTGCTCCTGAAGGAGGCAGCTTCAGCCAAGCCCCAGTCTGCTAATGTACACTGTTACTGATACTGAAAATGAGGGAACAGATGCTGTTGGAGTATCAAATGGAAGGCATTCTGCAAAAGAAAATAAACAAACCTAGCCATACTCAACCAGTCAAAGTAACAGGAAGGAAGCAGCAAGTCTCCGTTCCTAAAAGTAAAAAGGACTCTGCAGAACCACCGGAAAAAGATGCACTGCCTGATGAAAAAAATTAATTCCCTTTTCCAGAATCTCTGGATGATGCTAAGAAAAAACATATTAAGCACACTTTATTTACCTTCATTAAAACACAAAACCAAACAACCAACCAATCAAAAAAGACTAACCCCTAACAGGCAAGTGTAATTCAGTGAACTGACAGTAAATTCAAAGGTGGTATCACATATCCAAGAATGCTTCAAATAACATCTCTGGTAAAACAAGTACTCTCTTAGGGAGGCTGAATCAAGAAGCCTAGCTTGCTTCTAAGTGTCCTGACCAAAATATTACGACCCAAATCTTGCAAGAGTGGAGAAAAATGAAACCTCAAGCCCATATGGATTCTCACTGCCATTAGCAGGCCTGCAACAGTCTGCTTTCCTTATGATTTTATGGGAGTATTTGCCTGTCAAAGTTTTGGTCAATTCCAAGACAGCAAGCATGAGCTGCAAAATGAAACATGGAACATCCAGGGAGATCCAGCAGCCCGCCTTTTGAGTAAGTAGCTAATCAACAGCTGATTGTAAGAACAGGTCGCCAGAGTGTCTGTGTGGGAAAGCTTCTGCTGTTTGCGTTGTCACCACAGCTGCACAGGACAGTTGCCAACCTACAACCCATGGACTGCTCATGACATCCCAAATTTCAGAGACCAGCTGGGGTCAGTAGGCTGTTCTACTCCCCTGAACTTCTCTCAACCAAGGAAGAAACTTCTCAAGTGCTGCTCTCCCCATCCCTTTAACATTCACTTGACAACTCTCATTGCACATGAGTGAAGTAAAGCTGTGCTCCAGGCAAGCTGGTGGGAGGCAGGAATGGGGCTACAAAACCCAAGGTAACTGTTGGTTTGGCCTTTGCGCCTTGCCAAAGGACACAAAAGCTTCCTATACCCCAGAGGAGCCTTCCCCTTATCATGTATCCATGAAGTGGTCACATCCACACAAAAATGCCTGCAATGTGTTGGCTGCTAAAAATCTCCTGCCATTGAAACAGCAGGAAGAGAAAGAAGGTAATAATTGTAATGACCTGCTTTTACAGACTGCCAAGTCATCTATTATGAAAATGGTTATTATTTATAGCAACTGAGAGATAAAATTCAGAACAAATACCCTCACTGTGCAAAATTCTGAGCTTTTTTCCCCCCAATGGCTTTGGTTATTCGACAACATCCAGAAGAGCTCTTTACCAAATGCTAGCCTTTGTATTTTCTACCATACTCTAAGATACCATTAGAGGCTCATATCACTGGTGTTATGGATAGAACATGGTTTCCCAGTGAAGGGGAGTAGCAACTATCTAGAGGGAAAAAGGAAATGTTTGTCTCAGGGTAGAAACCACAAGAAATGCTATTTTCTGGAGTGTGGAATTAGGGGGAAAAAAGATACAACCTCATCTTGAAAGTGATGTGTACACTGGTGCAAATGAAGTCATCTCCTAAATTTATCTAAGCCACTCTCACCAAGAGGTGAAATCAGAAGGGAATTAAGCTAAGAGGGGAAATAAGAACGGAATTAAACAACAGATGAAACAGTAACTTAAACAGTATGCTATAGTTTCAATAATGAAGGGAGCTGTGCACAAACCTCATATTAGTAAATGCAAATGGTCCTGTTCAGTCATTAAGAATGTGAAAGTTTCAATTCTCTACTTCTAACAAAGTCAGAAACAATACAGGTAGGTTGTTAAAAAAAAAATTAAATAAATGAAGGTAAACAAAACATCCTAAATTATATCTCCTCAATAAAACACTAATTTAGAGAAGTTTTTCAGTTTAAATTCAGTCACAATTTTAGACCATATTTTCTCACAAGCCAGACTTAATTTGTCTTTTGACTATTTTTTGCAATGAGTTCACAGGCTGATGTAGTCCCACAGTGCAAATACTCTGTCAATTGCTTCAGAGTGACATGAGAAACATAACTTAAACCTTGTGCACTATAAAAAAAAATCTAAACTGCTTACTTATTTTTAACAAATAACTAATTTTTTTTTAAAGAACAATTTCCTTCAAGCATCTTCTTTGTTCCTTTGCATCAATAGCCCCCACTGTCCCGTGTCTACTCTTCCTTTGCCATTTATTTAAATAATTTTGTATTCAACTGACTTAATTTTACAGACTAGTGCTATTCTTAGGCCAATCTTCAACATCTAATTCTTAATAGCTTAATTTAATAATCTAATTCTTAATAGCGTCTTAAATTCTTAATGTGAGTTATCTTTACCTGTAACATTTGTATTCCTCACATTTGAATAAAGACATCTCCAGACATACAGAACCCATGGAATCTAGGGACATGGGGATTTCCAGGTATAATTGTGATTTCAGTAAACATGCATTTCAAGAAGTAACAATTGTTTATCATATAATATTCTGAGCTGGAAGGGACCCACAAAGATTGAGTCCAATGTCACAGAGTCACTTTGCTGCACTAGCAACACAAGATGGATCATTACCTGAAGAAACACCTGGAGCTGTAAATACAATGTATTCTCTAAATTGAAAATATTCTATTCACGCAACATATACAGAACAAAGGAGTGAATATCTGAGAGGACTTTTAACCTTAACTTCTCACATTGGGTTCACTGATGAAAATGTGCATCATTGCCAAAGCACATGTACCTCAAAGATCTTTGTGCTCTTGCTACATCTCTACTTGCACTGTTAAAGGGCTCCTTTCATTGCTTTATCCTCCTTTAGGTTTACATTTGATTTCACCAACTCCTGCAATACTAATTCAAATCTAAGAGTCTGTCTACACAGGGCTACTCACCAGAATACCCATTCCAAATATCCAGGCATATACATTTCCAGTTCACAGTCTGGTTGCATAAGGGCCATGCATGTTTGGAAAATAAGCTTGGTATGCTAATGTTTGTGAATTTCCATATGTAGATTAGCCCTCAATTTCACAATTAAATTAATCCATCTCCCACATCTCTCGGGGTCACACAGGAATGAGACACAGCATTTGATAACTGCCTACTTACAAATAGAACTGTATTTTGCAAGATTCTTTCTGCATTTGTTGTTTTTTACAAGTACTGTATAATGAAGATGAAAGGAAATATTAGGCAGAGATAAAATTCTTTGCACTTTTTGAAATGGAAAAATGTAAGTCCACTGGACTTGCCCACTAAAATATCCAGTGATTTTTAATTTTTTTTTTCATCCAGAGCAGTGCTCAATCATTTATCTGCCAACAATTGTGTTTGGTTTGTATTAAACATTGTGGTTACAACTACGGAATGTATTTCAGGGCATTATATGCAGTGCTGGTTTCCTGTCCTCCCAACTGCCAACCTCTTCCCTATTGACAAGAGCCTAAGCTGCAAAGGGTCTCACTGATTAAATAAAGTTCTGCAAGGGTATGGAAATCATTCATATGAGATATTTTGCATATTTAATTACATCAAGGACTTCATGACCTTTGTCAACTGCAGGTTTCAAAGAGCCTGCAGCAAGTGAACCAAGAGCCTTGGAACACACAGCTTCCAAACAGAGACTCCTTTGGAACCTGTTATGTTATACAGCTTACACCATTCATTTCCTTGATTTCCAAGCAGTTCTGGAAACAAAGTCATTCAGAACCGATAGGTGCGGATCACAGGTTCACCAGGATAAACTAAATGTTTTCCTCTGATGTAGAGTGCTTCAATTCACACTCACTCGTAGAAAAAAACCGAATTGCTCCATAGCAAATAATGCAACTGAACAGAAACAAACATATCTACGCACCCCAAAAGCAGTTTCTAATCCACTATTAAATTTCTTCAGTGCAAAAACTTCTTGTAAAGTCAAGGACATCCAATTGTCCTTCAGACATACAATTTCAGACTTGACTACAGTGACATCTTATGCTGTCAGTGTCTGCTAGGAACTCTATCTTCCATCAACTTCTTTAAGGAACATTCTTATCTTGCACAAAACTGCTGCCTTCAGAGTACTGGGTGCTCATTAGCACTTTTAATGAAACCTGATCTGTAGATAATCAAGGGGCAGAACAATTCTAGCAATACACAGAGTACAACATTCAAACGATTTTTAAAAAGCAGTGTAATTAAGAGTAGCTGTGTCATAGCTTACACAGTTTGAGGAAGCAGCGTATCCACACAGACATCAATTTAGATGGTGACATGGTAGCTGTGGGTGTGGCAGTGGGCAAAACTAGCAAGGAGCAGGCTCAGCACACTGCACTGATTGGTAACTTCTGATTGAATCTTTCAAAACCTGCCCAAAACTCTGGCCCATCTGGAGGTAGCAAGTTTGCACACACAGGATTACAAAGACGGTCATCATCCTAAACAAATGCATGAACATAAAATATATTACACCTAGTTTTCACTTTTGCTGGCACTCACTGCTGTTTGAGCCCGGCCTCACATATTTAATTCTTTTCTAAAAGATGGTGTAAGTAGCTTTATTATATACTGCAATAACAAAAGGTATTTATCTGATTATAGATAAGGGAGGTCACAATCTCCCTGTAATTTAAGCAAGTTGCTTATACCTGAAGGGTGAGTTTGTGTCAAAAATGAGTTCCTGTTAAGCACACACAGTTGTGTTCACAGGACAGAATTGCTTTAAAAATACAGAAAGTTGCACTGTCTAGCTATTATACCCATACACACAGAAGTAAAACACAGAATGAAACTAAATATGATACTGAATCACAAAACAAACAAGAAATAAAATTTTTATGTGAGAGATCCAACTCCTAAAAATACTAAATATTTTTGGCAGCTACTCATGACCTTAAACCAGCGTTACCAGACTGATACTTTCTATTACATCCATCTCCTAGAGCGGCAAACAAGGATTTGAGCCCTACTGAAACAAGTTCAGAAAGGCTGCTCCTGCCACAAAGAGGGTAGGAGTCAGATTACATGCAGCAGGTCATTAAACAAGGAAGGACTAAGTAAAAAAACATATAAACCAGTAACAGATGACTTCCTGGCATTCTATTTGGTCACAGATCCAGACTCTTACAACACAGGAGCTTGAATCTGATTTCTAAGATGTGAATTATTACCATACTAACTCTTTAACATGTTGCTCACAATCACAGGACAGTCTGGTCATGAAAAGCACATGAGCTGCATCATGAGATTAAAAAAAAATAAATACTGCATCCTTCCAGAGATATTCAAAACCCTTGCCTTTCTTTACTATCATAGCTTGCTCTCTATGTGATAGCGTGGATACATACAGCACACACATACTCTGCATCTCTTCTGGCCTTATTCTGCTTAAGATGCTTTAGTGCTAATCAGTCCTTCAGTTCTTAAATTTCATTTGCATGTTCTCTTTGCAAGGAAGCCTCAAATATTCTCTAAAGTAGAAACACATTACCTCTGAAATTTTGAGATAAACTAACTAAGCATCAGTTTAAACCAAGAAGCCAGGCCCTGTTGTAGAGGTTGAATCTTGGGTCACATCAGTCACACGTTGCTGTGGCCTACACAGGGTAAGCATGGAACTGAAAAAGAAGTGGGAGAACAAAATTCTCAGTTATGGGATTCTGTCATGTACATTCTGAAAAGCTACAAGTCAGAAAGGCTCTTCTAGTCTCCACTGCCTCTTCTGCCTTTGGACTCAACATTCCACAGGAGAGTGATTTGGTTAAGCAACTAACAACAAACCAAACCTAACAAAACTCACTGTCTTTCAGAAAGGGTTGGCTTGTAGACAATTGCAAGGGAAAGCCAAGCAAGTAAAATTCTTCAGTGCAGTTGGTTAGGCAAATTTACTCATTTTATTCGTGAAATAGAAATTTCCTGACTGTATATTACTTCACTCCCTTTGTTGAACAAACTTCCCTGTCTCATGTCTTCTGTTGACAAGCCCAAACCAGAGCTGCAAGGCTGATCTTCTCAGACAGAGGCAGAAAGAACAGAAAGAACAGATAGTTGTTTGGTGGGTTTGTTTTTTTTTGTTTTTTTTTTACTGTGCTTCAAATCAGTGTAATTGCTCCTGCTGCAGCAACATCTGCCTTTCCACATACTGAGAAAGCACATACTGGAAAGAATCCTGGTACATAATGGAACTCTGAGATTCAGAAAACAAAAGAAATGCTTGTAAAAACTTATCTGATCTTTCCCCTACCCCACGCTTTTTAAAAAAAGCACAAACCGTGTAACAGAAAAAGCAACATAACAGAAAACAGGTCTTTCATTTCAAACCAGTTTAGGTTCTTAAAACCTGTATGTGTTTACTTGCCCTTTGTGCTTTGTACTTAATCAATATTAATACCAAAAGATTCATGCTATAATTGTTCAGATTTGCATTCTTTTTGTGCATTCTGCCATTTATCACACTAAATTGTTACTAAATTGATGGTTTTGCTATTTAAAGGCTCTTTGTTCTAGTTTTGCATGCATGACATCCAGTTGGCAACTCTTTCTGCAGTGGAGTGACAAACATTTTAAAGCTTTTAAACTGCAATACTGCTAAATAAGAAGTAAAAAAACCTAAGAAACCAACAACACAACCCTACAAAGAATAATGCCTATTCATTTATAACAAAAGGAATAAAGCAATCAAATGTGATGTGCTTACCTTTCTGCATATACCTACTGAGAACATTTGGACTCATCATATGAAAATGTAAAGTAAGAGTTCTCAGGTCCATTTTATCCACATTCAAGTCAACTGGCTAAATTTTCTCTATCAATGAGCCCCTGAACTATCCTTGGCTTCAGATGTACTACACTAACTCAAATATATCAATGAGAACATTGGCAAAAATCACTACATTCTGCTACTCCAAAGGAGCAAACTGGAAGTAGAGCAAGCAGTGAGAAAATTTGCTTCAGCTATCCCACACAGTAAAATTCAGCACTCTTGTCATGTACCACACAACTTGTGTTGAAATCAATGTGAGCTGTGGGTCTGAGATTTGAACCTGATCCATGAACTACACAATTTACACAACAAGGAAGTTATCGTCTCAAACTGACTAACAAAACATTGTGATGAAATAAAAAAATTGCTTCCTCAGTATATACAACATTTTGGAAGTAAAGAAAAAAGAAGAGGGTAATGCAACCACATTTCTTCTAAATCCGTGATTTGCTGCTCTGACACAAGCACGGAACCTGACCACCAGCCGTAAATCGTTGCCAATCAGGCGGCAGCCAGCGGAGCTGGATCTGAACCTCGGCAACTTTGCCAATAACGCTACAATACAAAAGGCTTAACCTACTAAATTTGTTTTTCCTTTCTCGCTTAACGTAACAACCGCAGTCTCACCAAAACGTAATTGCATAATAAGATAATCATATGTAAAGTTTGAAGGAAAAAAATTGCCTTAATTTCAAATAAGCTCACAGTGAATGCAGTTTCGTTCCACCCATAACTCTACGAAAATCCAGCGGCACAGGTCTCCAAGGTTCCCAGCACTTTACACCGGCAGCTATCTTACTCCCAGCACTGCCATCTAGGAGAGAGCGCCGGCGTACCGCGGGCCGTCTGGAACATCAGCAGCTCGCATGCAGCAGCATTCCCGGAAAGCATCGCAAAGCTGTTGCTACTGTTAAAATTTTAACTGCAGCCGGTAGTTAACTACAGGCCGTGCCGGTTCGAAAGCAGCCTCCCCCAAATTCCCCCCAACACAGCGAGGTCAGCTAGGCGCACACACCGACATCTGCTCCGCGTATCTCGGCGTTCTGTGGCGGGGGAAAACGGGGGGAAAGCCCAGCCTTGTGCGCGCCGCCGCCGTGCCCGGGCCCTGCGTGCGCCCCGGGGCTGCGAGCGGCGCCGGAGGAGCCGGGCTGCGGCCGCCTCAGCGCTCCGCGCCGGTTCGCGGGCGGCTACGCGGACACCGCGGGAGCGGCAAGGCACCGCCGGCTGCTGCCCCCGGCCCCCAGCCCCTCGTTCGGCAGCCCCACCGCGCACCGGCCGGGCTGATGCCACTCGCCCACCTCCGAGCCCCGTCCTTCTCCCGGGGACTGGGCTGCCGCTGTTTCATCTCCCTGCGTGCAGCAGGACAAAACGGGAAACGGCTGCAGGAAAAGCCAAGCAAGGGACGTGCCTTGCCCGCCGGCCGGAGGCGCAGCCCCCAGCGTGCAGCCGCCCCCCGCAGCCCCGGGAGCGGCCGCCGCAGCACGGCACAGCCTCGCCTTACCTCCCCGCCCCGGCTCCGGGGATGCGCCGCAGCTGCTGCCGTGTCCGCCCCCACCTGCGCCGTCCCTCCCAGCCCGGCGCTCAGGTGCGGAGAGAGCACAAAGGCAGCGCTGCGGCGCGCTGGGGGCAGCGGGCTCTCCCCCACCGAGCCCCCGGCCCCGCTGCACCGGAGCCCCGCTCCCGCCGCCGGCTTCCCCTCCCCTGCCGGCACCGAGCGCCAGCCCACCTCAGCCCGCTGCGGGTGCCCCCCCCATCCCCCCCCCCGCCCGAAACCGTGCAACTTGCCCCTCGAAAGCCCCCTCGCCAATCCCCCGTGCTGAGCTTGGTACCGGCACTACGGAGCGCCCCGCAGCCTGAGGAAGTTCCCCGGTCCTGCGGAGAGCTGAGGGGGACACACCCCCCCACGTACCCCCCACCACTGACACCCCTCGGGCTCGCCCCGCTCCGCTGCGCCGACAGACACGTACGGGCAGCCCCCACAACGCCGGGGGTGCGGACCCAGCGCCCGGTGCTCGCCAGACAGGGCGGCCGCTGCCCCCAGCCCCGTCGCCGCTGGATGCGTGTGTGTGCAGCGGGGGGGACAGGTGACGAGTGGCAGGAAAGAACCGCTTCCCCCCGGCGGGAAGGTCTGTGGTGCAACGCCGCTCCCGCCTGCCCCCCACCCCGTCTCTGCAGATGCCCCCGGGAAGGGCTGCGAGGCTGGCAGCCGACAACAGCCGCCCCCTCCCCCGGGAAAGCTGTTCTGCCTGCTTCTCCCTCGCTCGCCTTCTTTTCAGCTCGGCCGCTTGACTGACAGGGAGCCTTCCAGCGGCCGCCCACGCGCGCTCCCGTTTCCCCTCAGTCGGAGAGGGAGATGGCGAAGGAGAAAGCATGAATGAAACAGCCAGGCAGCGGGCGGGAGCAGCCGGCCCGGGCCCTGGGAGCGCTGGGGCCGCTGCCGCAGGCATGCGTGGGGCGGCGGGGCCGCCCGGGCCCCGCTGTGGGCAGCCCCCCGCCCGGGCCCCGCTGTGGGCAGCCCCCCGCCCGGGCCCCGCTGTGGGCAGCCCCCCGCCCGGGCCCCGCTGTGGGCAGCCCCCCGCCCGGGCCCCGCTGTGGGCAGCCCCCCGCCCGGGCCCCGCTGTGGGCTCCTCAGGGAGGGGAGCCGGCGGTCGCTGACTGCCAGCGGCACCCCCGGCATCTCTGCTCAGAGGGGGCTGAGAGGCCTCTTGAAGACACTGCCGTGCTTCTGCTGGGTTTGTTCCCAGAGGGCGGAAGGTGGAAGGTTGATGCCTTCACAAGCCAGAGACACGACTGTGGCCTTAGAGATGCCACAGCAACTGGTTGGTTCCTTATCTATAAACCCACTTTGCTCCACCAAAAGCAATTCATTTTGTATTCATAGAAACTCAGCACCTAATACCTGAACTAGGACTCTTGTCCGGAAGTAATAGGAGGGAGGAACGAATCTCAAAATTTATTTAAAGCCCACTTGGTTTTCCCAGTGGTTAGTTGGTACTGTGGGGTAGCCTTGCAATCCTTTTTTCCCTCAGATCAGTTGTCCCAAAAATGCTTGTGACTTACTAAACACACACTTCACAATCTCTGGCTGGAGACCAGAGGTTCTGTGCTTTGGCATGACTGTTACTGAGTTTGGTTTGTGGTGTTAGTCAGCCTCACTGCACAGTCAAAGGATTAAATATTCAGGTAGTGGGGGTCTACAAAGTGGTTACCTCACTATTCATTCACTGAAAATCAGTAATCCCTTTAATTAATATTTTATGCATTTTCTTGATTTTAGTCACTGGAATTCTTGATTTGAATGCCCCAAAGTATTCATTAATTTAAATCTCATACAATTTAAATTGAAAAGAACATTATCTCATTCTGAATATGCATGGAAAATTTTGTTATATGCTGGTACATACATTGCATGCTGCACTTGAGATGTATCTGCATTTGCAGTTACATAATCAATAAACATGGGGTTTTGTCCCATGAATCTAGAATTGCATTCTGAGCTGTTTTAAACCAGTATGCCTCCACAAATTTAATGCCTGCCAGAAAATTTATATCAGCTAAAATTTTAGCCTCTGAATTTAAAAAAAAGCTGCTTTTGATTTCTGTGGGGAGAAGTGTCTTAAGAACTTCATTTTTTAAATTTTGTGTTCCTGAAAACTGAGTGGACAATAAAGCATTGTCAAATCTTTTGCTATAGAACAATGAATGTATCATTATAATTTAAATAAGGCAGTGCAATCCTTTATGTATTTGTTTTATAAGGTTCTTATGTTTGTGGTAATAGTTCAATATGACTCACCTACAGTACATATCACTGCCACAGCTGTTGTAAACCTTCTTCTGAGTCAGAGAATGACTTTATGACCCAGAATTCTGGCAGTGAGTACTAGCCTAGTGATTTTCCCAATTAAGAGAGAATTGTGAGTTGGTATCAGAGCAGGGTGAGTCAGTTTGATGTAAGGCAAAACTAAACTCATCAGTTACTACTGCACTAAGTCAGCATCCTCTTCCCGTCCAAAAGTCACTGTTAAGAAAACCTGGAATCATCTTGTGATGGGACCTCCTCTGAGAGTTCAGAAAGACTGCAGTGGACCATGGAATCAGTTCTCATTCCCAAAAGCTCCTAGCTACTGTATCAACCATCTATTGCTCACTGCCATGGGGTGCACAATAGATTTGCAGAATTGTGGGGCTGGCAGCAGCAAAGTGCTGAGAGGCAGCCTGGTTTCTCTGCTTTATTCGAGAAATCATTTTGCTTCTTGGGCATACCAAAGTGCAGCAGGTCTGACATTAAAACCACATGTGGTTCTCTGCAATTTTTCTCTGAAAAACATCCTAAATCTGCCTGAACTGATTTTGAATAACAGAATTTGGGTACCCCTTACTCTGCAGAGAACATGGTCAACACCTACTTGCTGTTAAAACTGTGTCAGAATAAAAGGGGCCATAATTTGGGATTGGGTATGTGGATGAGTGTTGCCACTGGATACAAATAGATCACACGGACACAGCTCGAGGTGTGGTGAAAGGAAGAGCGAGTTTATTTTTCCTCCCAGGATTTATAGGTTTCTGACCACAGCCAGGGATTGGATGGTCAGGATAACACTTTCTCACTGCACTGGCTATGAGAGATGTCCATCACAAGATGGGTAACAGAAAGAATGTACACATATCTATGTTTACAGTTACTGTCCTGGGAAAGTCTTTAGAAAACCATGTCAATAAGCTCAGAAGCTGAGTTTTCAGGGCGACAGATGAGCTATGAGGGTATGATGAACTTGAGTTAGGCTGGTGGCAACCTGAGTTCACTCTGGTGTTTTGTCACCCTGACACAATTAGGAAGGGTTTAAGTTTGAGATTGTGGTGAGGTCAACATCAAGCACGGGGCAGAGAGTGGAAACTCAGTGACCAGCAAGCTGGGTGTACTGCAAGCCATGCCAGGGACTTCAGTGTTGACCCTGGCAGCAGCTCCCGGCTGGACAGGCAGAGGTTGCTGACTCAGGATTACAGCTGGGATTGGGGTTGAACTTTGGGTGAAGCAAAACTGATGAGGCAGGTTTGAAGTAGTGTTCAGAAGATGTAAATAATTTCAGAGCACCCACTGATACAGCTGTAGAACAGAGGCTATTGGTGAATTTGGTATAAAAGTTTGACCTTGCTTAGAGTGAACTATTTGTACTATACTGTGTCTGAGGCAGCTCTTAAGGGTCCTGGTAAGGGTTAAGGTGGGAATACCTGGGAATTTGTAACATTTGAAGTTGATGCGCTCCTGTATTCATGTCCTTGTTAATAGTCTATGTCCATTTGATTTCATGGTCCAGAAAGTCATTGAAAAATATAATCCATCTGGTTTCTAAACAGCTTTGCGTTTTATTTCCTGTTTGACCTGGACATGATACCCATTTGACCCTGCGTGATAAACTGAGAAGAAACTCTATGGAGAAGTACCTGGGGGTCCTGGTGGACAGCAAGCTGTACATGACCTGTCAGTGTGTCCTTGTGGCCAAGAAGCCAATTGTGTCTTGGGGGGCTTTAGGAAGAGCATTGCCAGCAGATTGAGGGATGTAATTCTGTCCCTCTGCTCAGCCCTGGTGAAGGCTCACCTGGGTTCTGGGCTCCTCAGTACAAGAGAGATATGGAGCTCCTGGAGTGGATCCAGTGGAGGACTACAAAGACGGTTAAGGGTCTGGAGCATCTCTCCTATGAGGAATGGATGAATGAGTGGGCCTGCTCAGCCAGAACAGGTTATGGTCAGAATCCTTGGGAAGAGTCTGTGCAGTGGATTCTGGTTAGAGGAGGAAGAAAATGCATGTGAACCATCTGGAGGAAGTGAACTGGGTTGGTGTGGAAGCAGAGGGAGAATGCAGGGAGCTTTGTATGAAATGCTGCCTGCTTCAATGACCCCTTGGTTTCATAGCACCTTCCATGTCTTTCCCTCAGACCAACTTACGTCTGTATGCAGAATACAAATGCAGATAGCTTTACTGAAGTGAACAGAGCCACGCCACATTTGTTTTGGTTAAATATGAAATTAAAACTGGAGGGTTGTTTTCATGCAGTAAACTTGGTAGGAGCATAAGGGAGAAATGCAACTTAAAATAGCATTTGGGAAATATATATAGCAAAATGAATAAACAATATGCAATGAGTCATGTCCAGCGGTTCTTGCAGTAGAAGAGAGGATCTTCTCTGAGGAAACTAGCTGGGAGTAACTTCTGTTTCTCTGAAGCTGTAGTTACCCTCTGGGTACAGCATTTTGGTAGTGTCCAGTGTATTCCTTTGTGGGCGCAGAGCACTCTCTGAGCAGAGGTAATTGCAGGACTGGACCACAGGCAATCATGCACTGAGACACCCTATACAGGCTAGCAGAGAAATCTTCCAGCAGAGTTAAGTAAAAAATATTTAAAATCTGGTTTGTCTGGCAAGTGGAGACCAAGAACCACCATTTTACTCACAACGAAGGGCTATGCTGAAGGATGCCCAAGGGACATTACAAATGCTACTGTCCTGAGGGAATCTGTTACAGCAGTTATCCTCTTACCTGATGCTATGCAGACCTATCTTATAAGCTGGTGGCACAGGTGCCCTGAAGCAAAACTAACTGTACCAAGGCAGAAAGCAGCAGCACAGGGCAGCTCTGCTTTTATGAGCTTTGAAACCATGAAACTAGATAGAATTGGCCAGGCTGGGTGGCAGCAGTTTGGCCATCTCTATTAAATATAAAACTCAACACACAGCAGAGAGAAGGGGCTCTGATGACACTATTTCAGCTTTGTTCTCATGGTAACCATTATGTCATCAGGATACCATGGTTACTATAATACTACTTATATTTCAAAAGTTAAAAAAAGGCGGAAGGAAAAAAAAAAGCAAACTTTTCCCAAAGTTGAGAAAGAGATGTGTTTATTCAGAACCAAGTAGTCACAAGGAAGAATTAACTAAGAGTTATTAATACTTCCTGGAAAAGCCATTTTGAAACTGTGAAGGATTGTTTTATTTAGTAATTACTATATCTTACTGTTTCTGTTGCTGTCCCCGTCACCATATGGTGCATGTCCTGGGGTT